CATTTGTCAAAAGGAATAAATTAGAACCACACATAAAGATGACAGTATTAATAACGAGAATGCTAATCGTGAACTTTTTTTATTCTTGAGTTTAGCATTATGCAAAATATTTTAATTTGATAACTTTTTTTTTCATTTATTTTCCATGTAAAATTTTTATATTATAAATATTACTAGTTGAAATCTTTTTTTTTATTAATTGAGATATGTTTTTTCTCAACTGAATATGCTAGAAGCGGCGTTGTTGGAAGCTTCCTCTTCTAATAATGTAGAATGAAACTCAAATGCGAGACATAATCGTTATTTTGATCATTTCAAGATCAGATTGGACAAAAAATACATTGATTTAAATACAATTTAGATAAATAAGGTAAAGTAATTAAACTTCAACTTCATTCCGTTACTGAATGAGAAAAAGAGCAGATCGTGTATCCTCACACCTTCAAAGTAGTTTTTGTTTTGGGAATCAATAGTGTCTAAGATTTTTTAATATGTTTTTTTACAGAACTTCTCATGGTCATGAAAATATGCAGGAAAAATTTATTGATGGTCACGTGAACTGCTCATGTTTTTGTATGATTCCTTAGGTTTTTTATGATATGTAACAGAAGAATGAAAATTATTCACTTTAAATATTTGAAGAATATTTTCTGCTAAGAATGATACTTTAAGGATGTAGTTTAATTTTAGAATATAGTTTAAAAGGATATTTTTGGACAAAACTTTATTAAAAAACATCATAAATCACAACTAAAAAGGTTAACTAATCATAAAATTAATAATTATGATTGGGAGTGATATAAGTTATCCCTACTTTTGAATGGAATATTAATTCCATGATAACTTATCCCCAGAAAAAATGTGAAATAACAAAAGTATCTCCTTAAATCCTCTTTTACAAACAAACAACTGTTTTTTTTGTAAATAAACAAATAGTTCTTATAAATTATAGCATGCATATTAATTGAATATGACAAATCAAAGAACAATAAAAAATAAACACAAATCAAAAGAAACGTGTCTCTGGATTTCAGGCATAGGTTGGTGATACTTATGCATTTTCCCAAAATTATAGAATGAGTTAGTATTTATGGTAGAAATATTTGTGTAATTAGGTAATTTTTCCTATTTTAAATATCTTTTAAGCCTAGCATTAATTTATAAAAAAAATCAAATTAATGCATATCATTTTTCTTATGAAATTTAAATTTGTTCATACAATGGGAATAATTTTAGATCAAGTTATTAGTGGTAAGAGTATTATCGAACTAAATTATCAATAAAAGATATTTTTATTCAATTTTCATATAGTTTGAAAGAATTTTTTATTCTTTTTTATTAAAAGTCTTAGGAATATGTACAAAATTAACATGATTCACAATGGAAGACTAATAGCATATCTTCACATACATTTACACTTCCGATAGAACTTGTATAGTTTTCTTCAACTTATTTGTCATGCATTATGAATCATTTCGTATCTAGTTTTCTTGATTACACATTCTTCAACAAAAATAATGAACCCTCAACGATTTTGATATCGAACCCCCCCCCCCCCCGAAAAAAGACTTTTCATGTTGTATCTTTTATAGATATGCATATTAGTTTCAGGATGAGGAGCTAGAAGTAATATGAATTAAAATTGTTATGTATTTGAAATAAAAGTACATAGTTCATTTGCAGTATTATATATAATTTGTTTTTGTAATTTGTTATAAGCATATATTCATTAATTCTAGTGTTATAGAGAGCGTCATACTATTAAATATTTGAATAAGTCAATCATGGAGCACCATTAGATAATCAAGAATGTCATATGATACTATAATCACTCAATGTTTGTTGTTCAAGTCTTTTCCTTATTACATAATAAGAGATGTTATCTTGATTATTGAATAGTTTGTATGAGTGTGAACCTTTTTTTGTGTGACATTGATATATTTTCATATAAATATCTATGTATCAGTTATAAATATTTATGTATCATGTAACTTTACTTGATGTTCTAATTAACATTGAAACCAAAGTCAAAGGATACATCAAATTGATATAGCCTATCATTTACAAGCACAAAAGCATTAAAATAAACAATTAATATAGGTTTAATGTGTATGAAATCTCTTAAACTTGTCAAAAAATTTATTTGGACACAAAAATTGAGTTGTCTATGTAATATATGTACTCATTATTAGATTTAAGTGTTTATATGACACAAAAATATAAAATTCAAAATTCATGTTGTGCAAGGCCCATTTAATGGAGAAAATGTGCCCTAACAAGAGTGTTTAAATTAATATCAATTTAACATCTTTGGGAAGCCTAGAATGTGCGGCAAAAACAACATACTTGTGTTGTTGTATTTTATGCAAAAATTGTGCATTTTATATGTTATATTATACTCTCTGTATCATTTTACTTAGTTCAAATCTAAGTTTGACTACTATTATTTTATATTGTTATTTACTATAAGAGTAATATTGGAAAAAAAAATAAACCTCTTTTGATTTTCTGAATTGTCAAAATAAAAAGTTTTTGTAAATGCTAAGATAAAAATATGTGTGGAAAGAAATTTTGAAATAAATTTGTTAATTATAATGTTTTGACAAATTTACTCAAATCATTACAATTAGCAAGTTTAGAGGGTGTTGAAATTGGCGTAAAAGTTGGTCAAACCTACATTAAATTCAATTTTTACTTTTGAAAGTGTTTGATAAATATAAAAACGTAACTTAAAATAAGTCAAAGATGACTTAGAATAAGCGTAGAAATATTTGACAAAGTCAAAAATGACTTAAATAAGTTTTAAATGACTTTAAAAAGTCAAAAAAACAAAAGTAGACTTCCCTTGCCTTTTATTTTTTACTTAAAAGTCATTTAAGTTGGATTTAAAAGCTACTTTTTAAAGTCAATTTAAACAAACTCCTGGTAAAAGAAAAATTAGTAAAAGAACTTAGTATTTACTAGATATTAATTCATTTTACTTTGACATAAATATGATCCAATATGTATATTGCATCCTTTTTCTCTATATATACTCACTTGCATTCACTTCATTATATCAAAACAACAATCATTTAAGAAATTAAAATGGCCTCCTTTTTTACTCCATACTTTTTTCTTTTAGTACTTGTTTCAAATATTTTCAACTTTCAAACCTCTTTGTGTGACCTCCGTGCAGACGAAATACTAATAGAAAATATATGTAAACAAGTACAAGATCTACAATTTTGCTTAAGCACTTTCAAACAAATTTTACATACTCATCCATATGTCCCTAATGAAATAACGCGGGCTTCTCTTAGTCAATCGTTACAAAATGCTAACGACAATCATGCCTTCGTACAAAAAGCTAAAGCAGAAGCAAAAGACAAAGAGCTCCAAGATTTATATGCCATTTGTGTAACAAGCTATGAATTGTTGACAAGTTTACTCCAAGATTCTATTCAATCATTAGCTAATAAGGATTATAATGGCTTGGAAAATTCACTTTTTAAGTGTCCCAGATTTGTGAGTGCCTGTCAGAATGCACTTGGTAGCAAAACAACGCCTGAAATGTTAGATAGGAGTAGGAAACAATTTGATTTAGTATTAATGGCAAAAATTGCTGAAGGCCTAATTCCGAAATAAATAGTTTCAATGATTGTTATAAATTAATTTGTATTTCTTAAAAGCTAGCAACTAATTAAAGAGGAGATTGATATTTTGATAAATTATTCTTGTCATTTTCATTTCAACCATGGCATATCCTTTTACACTTACTTTTTAGAAATATTATTTTTTTATGATTTAATTAGTAAGATGTAAGTTGATAATGAACCTCAAAATATATCACATTTACAAAAGAGTATACATCAAGTTAGTAATGATCTCATATTCTTATTTAAACTTGTGTAAATAAGGAAAGACGTAAAGAAAAATGAATTGATCTATGATCCTTAGTTCTTTTTTTTAAAACCCTTAATTAATAGTGTACATACGATTCCCTATAAGTAAATACAAATCAAGATTGATAATGAATTTCATGAACATTTTCATAAGAAGGATCTGGTCGCACTCAGTGCTGTAGCTACATAATGTGAAGTATGATCAATTGGACATTTGCAACCAAAAAATTACAATATATATATATATATATATATATATATTCCAACCTTGTGTTTCTTGAAATATTCCTAGATGTACAATTGGTTGCACTTGATACAATGAGAAGATTTTGTCCATTCTTTTACTATTTTACCCCTTTTCCAAATGCTACCTCTAGACAACATCGTTTAAGGTAGCCTTTGTAAAAATGGATGTACAAATTATTCAAAGTATAACAATAGGAATTTGTAAATCTTGAATGTAAGATAAAGTTGTCTACTACAACATGCAAAAGTAACTTAATTATTCATTAGATTATTTCTAAGGATTTAGGATTTTTAATATGGCCGGCCATATACCAAGATGGTTTTTGAAAGTTGACACGATGTCTTTTTTGATGATAATTCGGAATTCTTATAGAGAATATGTGCATACACAAAATTACATTTGTCAATTAGACACCTAAATTGGTGGTGGCCACCACCTAAAAATTTCATAAATCTAAAATACTTTAAATTATTTTCTTAACTTTCAATTTGAGCAAATATTTAGATGGTCATTTTTTACGAAAAATAGAGTTGTAATTACATATGCATTTTTATTTCCATTAGAACTGATTAATTAACAATTTATTAAAATAAAGATGTTTCTTTTCTTTAAGAGGTTTGCATTTACATTAGCTGCTCTAGTATAATGACTCCTTTTGATCCAAACATGAATTTTTTGGCAGCTAATTTATTAATCTATATATCATGCTTCTCCAATTAAGTATATCTGCCTAATGCATGCACTCCAGTCACACATAAACACACCTAATCTGAAGGTAGAATATATAGGGAACTGAAGTTGTTTCCGATGAAGAAATAAGATAACTGCAAGTTAATCTCTTTAATACATAAAACTTAGTATAGTAAAACTGGTCACTAACTTGGTGCTGAATTCATTTATTGTATAAAAAAGATATTTACATTCCTAGGATACATAACTTAAATCGTAAAATACATTGTGCAGCTCTGAAAGTAAGAGAAAAACTAGCCCTAAATATATCTATTATACCTTTGGCCGTGATGGCATGGATATCAATGATAACTCCTCCATGGTGTAAATACCAGGTGGAGGTAAGTATATCACATCTTCCTCTGGTGGATCATTAGGTGGGGTTAAGTTTATCCTCTTCTCCTTTGGTGGCTCTCCGGGTGGGGGTAAGTTTATCCCGTTTTCCTCTAGTCGCACGCACAGAACAGATCGATTTTCTGGTGTCATATCTTCATTTGGGCCAGGAGGATATTCAATCTCAGAAGCACTTAAATCAAATATAAACACACAGAACTGGGAATTTCCTTTGTATCTGAAGAGTAAAAAGTAACCACAACCAATTGAATAGTACTCCTTGAATTTGTTCCAGCCTTCATTTAACCATACCATGCCACTAGAGTTTAGCAGTCTTACTTTCCATACCACGCCATTTGGGACCTCAAGCAGCACAATATCCCCCAGATTAGCGCCATGCTCGGTTACAAATTCATCAGGGATGTGCTGTAAAATACTGAAACTGATAAGATATGAATAAAATATAAAATATAAGAGAAGAAACGTAGAAAACAAACAGACAGAAAAGAAAAGCTTCAGACAAGCTGGTGTAGACAAGTTTCTAATCACACATGGCATTTCTTGTTTTTTAAAAAATAATCCGGAAAGCCAATGAAACTAGATAGATAATGAGTCAGCCCCTCTAGCCTTCTCAACTCAAATACCATACTTTTGTCCGTGGAAGGGTAAGAAAACGTGACCCCGTGACCGGGTGACGTGCGTCTAACACACATATCATACATTGCGCTCTAACCACTGGACAAGAACCCCAGGGGTGCAATCGCATAATGTTGCTAAAAAAGGAGCAAGAGAAACAGGTAGCAAGATACTAAGTAAGAAAACCCCTAATATAGACCAACAACAAATAGTAAAGGTGACTAGTAAGTTAGGGTTTAGCATTTATCAGTCAAATTTGCAGAACTGAAGCTTCCATTTTTCATTCCTAAAGCTGGGTACTTTTTTTCCTTTGTAGAAACAGAAGAGAGTGATATAAGATGAAAATGTCTCATCATAAAGCCACTTGCAGAACTTACTAATTTAGAGGCATGTGGAGACAGGATAATCTTGAAGAAGTGAGGGGTTCTCTCCGGGATATCCACCGGTCTTGGCTCCCCTTGCCCTTGTCTGCTTGCCATCCCTGCCGGCTGCTTTTCCCGTCTGGCTGCTGTCTCTGCCAGATGATCTTCCCGTCTGTCTACCATCTCTACCGGCTGCTCTTCTTCTGGTAAACTATTGCCAATCTTTTGCATTAGCTTTTGGGAACTGCAGTGACAAAAACAAAACATTTACCACTGCATCAGATGTGTGAGAACTGAATTCTCAACATCAATCTTTGAAACTTTTAACCAATAATCATACAGCTCATTCCAAAGTGGGGTCTTTTACTTATTCAAGAAACTAAACAGAACGAATACATAATAAAACTGAAAATCTATGTTCTTTTTAATTCACTCCACTTTATTTCCACTATCACTTTTCTTCATCTTTTCTCTTGAATAACTGAGAAATATCTGAGGAGAGTGATGAACTTACACTCATGATGTGCTCATACCCCAAACCCGCATTGTACTCTTAAAAATATACCAAAGCCCTCGGACCCATGTTTCTCAAACTCTCCTAAAATGTTGCCGCTCCCGTGTCAGATCCTCCAAAAATGGTGTCGTAGGGCTTTGGTATGGGAAGGGTAGAGACGTAGAGTGTACGTAGTCGACCTTACCCCTATCTCATGTAGGTTGAGACAAACAATTCCTACCCTATGAAGCCCAAAATTCCTTAATCCAGCATTACATATTCTCACAGCAAAAATCTAGCATTACACTCATCGACTTAAATCTAATTGCGACTACCAAAATACACAACAATCAGCTCCTCTGCTAACTGATACACCAATGGATTACAGTAAAAGACTCCTTCACTACTCCATAAATGGGTCAAATTGAATACCCGAATCAGAGCTTGAATAAGCTCAAAAATCTAATTTTGTTCCCCCTTCCTTTTCCTCTTTGTGCACATAGTTGTGTTTTTCTTTCAAAGGTCCTCTGGAAACAACCTCTCTACCTCCATGTGGTTGGAGTAAGGTTCGTAAACGAAATCATCTAAAAGTAATTTAGATACGCTGACACCACAAACACAACAATTCCTACCCTACGAAGCACAAAATTCCTCAAATTCAGCACTACAGATATATATTCAAAGCAACAATCTAGAATTTACCTCATTGGGCGAAATCAAAGTATGACCAAAACACTCAACAATCAGCTCCTCTACTCTGCTAACTGATACTCCAGTGTTCCATAAACGGGTCAAAGTGAATACCCGAACTATCCAACACCACCTTTACATATATCAATCGTCCGTCAAGGGTTTCCCGGAAAATCTCCCCGCCGACAACCCTTTTCGAATCTGAAGAATTTTCAGTGCGGAATCCAAATGAAATTTATTTGGCCGCTTGAACCGACCCGTTTTAGGATCCGAATTTACCTGGATGGTTTAGGTAGGCAAATTGGTTACCACTTACATATTATACCGCAAAAATATCACTTGTTTGAGATATAACCAAGTGCGATTACTTAAGTTTTTGAAATTATTTTTCGTACTATATTTACTTCACTAAATAAAGATATTTATATTTAAGTGTGAATACACCAACTCTCTCACTCGCTTCTCTCTCTCTTTAAAAGGTATTTAATAGGGAGAAGGGTTAAAAATGTCCTCAACGTATTTCAAATGGTTCAAAAATGCCATCCTTCCACCTTTTGGTTTAAAAATGCTCTTAACGA